GTATAGTGTCTATTCATACGAAAATTTGTGTTAGTCTACGATATGGTACGAATCAAAAAAAAAATAGCGATATTATCTGTACTTTAGTGTATTGCTGTACATCTCAGCTAGGTAACTGAGCTTATATACATTTATATTCATGTTTGTGTAGTATATGCTGTCATTCAATATCGATTTTCTACATAGTATATGCATGTATCAGATAAAATCCTAAACCCTTGAAAATTAAGTTGGGCCAAAATATTGAATTAAAATATTTTGCCAGTAAATGTTATTACATAGTTACCGATGGATATAGATTTCGTAGAGTTTATTTCACGATTGACTATGGGTTCCGGGTTAACTGATCCCACCTTACTTAGCGAGCTCTATCGCCGCAAATGATGTGGGATATGAGATCTGTGTAAAATAAAATGTGCAGAAATCGGCTTGGTGAAAGTCGGAGGTCGTAGGTTAACATCTAAGTACGTGTACAGGATGAGTTGCATTCTCAATGAGTTTACCCTGCAACTCACTTCTGCGCGTAGCTATGAGGCACGTGTAGGTTTAGAATCTTGTTTGTTTGGTGCGATGTAACACAGTACATGACGGAATGCTCCACAAATTCATGGGCAATTTCGTTTTCGGTCCCGTCATAGGAAAAGCGAGAAACGTACCATCATACTTATGGCCACGAAGAAACACATTCGTCGCTTTTCATATGCACGACAAAAGCATGCTGGGTAACACTTATTCTTTCCTCTATAGGATCTCAGATGTTGCGGCATGGTTTTTTCTCCATCCAATCTGCAATTGAGGATAAACAGTTCAGAGACGATAAGTCTATGTTGCTGGACAAGGAGATGCTCCAAAGGTTCTATAAAAACTCGCAACCGCTAGAGAAGTTGAACGTGACCCCACCCTTGCATTCAGTTCTAAAGGATGCCATCGAATCGTTCAAACCGAAAGCCAAAGGTATATTCCGGCATACACGACTCGGATAGGTAGAACTTATGGAAGTATCAGGTTTCATTGATCACTCTTTTGTCAGCGTGACCTTTGTATCTACCATTAAATAGGGGAGAGTGGATTTGGACGTATTTATTGGTTAAGCACACAACACCCGATTAGAACTTCATAATATGTATCCATGCCAAGCACGAATTTGATCCACACTTATCTTACTCACATGTTCTGTGTTCATCGGTCTTTATACACTTATTTACACGTAGGAGGGTTCCAACCGTTTCGCATGTTCAACAACGCACTGTCACAGTCGGCGAGTGGGCGTCTAAACAAAGGGCAACTCACACTGACCGCGAAGAGCTCCTTGGAACACACTTCTCCTAAAAAGAAGCTTGCAAGTACAAGTACGCAGCCCAATACACAAGCCAGCTCTGAAAAAGCGTATAGAAGCAGTTTTGGGCCCTCACTCCAAGAAAAAGGGTTTGTCAGGTCAAGTAGTTTTCTGATGCGAGGGATCAGCTTTCCCAATTCTAATTTAAATGGTAATTTTCTGCTCCAAGTGGTTCTGTGATCTTGTATGTGGTTGTCTTAACTGCATTGCACAGCTCCGGCTAAATTAATGAGTCCCAAAAATGGGCGCTTAGTACTTATGCCATTGTAGTGATGTGCAAGGTGTGCATAGTGTTTGCAATGTGGTCTTCCTTGTTCATCTATCTCGCTAGCAGTGGTTGATTATTGCGGAGCGTGTACAAATTTTAAGTCGCATTTCATATCTTATTGACCTTCATTGGTGTTCTAGCCATCTACAATGGCAGTGTTATCCTGCATTCGCGAAGCAGTTGAAGTCAATAAATCAATTAGAAGAGTCAACGCCCGTTGAGGAAGAAACATAATATATATATATATCTGATAATGGCATACACAGTAAAGAGACCATGCTCACAATTGTTTTTGTCTCATGAAGCCAAGGATTTTATTTTGAGTAAAAGTAGTCAGAATTTGGAGTGAAAATGTCTCTTCAGGAACTTTTCGAACCACAACGCGAACACGCATCGCGTACACGCATCGGCGGAATGCTGAGTATTTAACTTCGGCTATCTCCCGTAACTTTCAGAAGAATCGTGTAGACCGCGGCCAATACAGAACACTTGCTCGGCTCCTGAAGTGGAGTGTTTCTCCAGTAATATGGACATGTTTGCTATTCCCCGTCTCTCAGGTATATAAGTCTAAAATTCAACTTGTTTTCAGATTGAAAAAGAAAGGGGACACGTTATGTTTTTTTATGTCTACGCTGTCGAGAGTCTTTCGGGACGTGAGGTATGACAATTCAGACTAGTGAGTAATTTTGGGTGACGCTAATGCAGAAAGATCAATTCACTGAGCACGCTGAACTGCCATCAATCAGCATTATCTGTAGAAAACATGCGCGCGCAGCGATACACCGACAACTCCCATTGTTTCGTTTCTTGAAACAGATAGTGACCATGCAGGCATGAGTAGCAGCGGTTGCACTACACCCAAGAAGAAGAGCAACAAGCTGTCTTCGTATTCGTTTGATATGTTTGGCCCGCGCCAACGGAGAGAGTCAACCCAAGATCAGGTACAATTCGGCGAACAACTGCGAAGGCCGATCACTGCGCAATCGAAGGCTAAAACGGGCACAAGTCTCAAGAAGAGTAAAATGCTCCGGAAGTATGTTACTTCCCGTCATTCCTCAGGTGTATTCCTAAAGTGAATTTGATACATTGTGCTCAACTGGCTGTAGAAAGCGTTTATGCAATCAGGCTGTATGTTGCTGATTTTTACAAGATTGTGCCTCGAAGAACTTTGAAAGGTATTTATGGATTCTCTGTTTTCCATCATCACAAACAGGGGGTCGGTGAGCGCCTCTAAAAAGAATGCCGCCGTTAAACGGGCCTCGCACCCTTGCATGGGAGATGGTCTTCTAAATTCGAGACTACCCTTTCTGACCAGTTTAAGGTGAGCGTCAGTTCGCCTGTGCGTGAGATGTACGCCGGTGTTTCATAGTAGCCATTGATAATACATGTTCAGCGATTCCATCAGAATGAGTTTGAATACCCTCCATCAACCTGCTTTTGATGCCGCAACGTACTTGATCGTGTCATATTTGTGTATCGTCGTCGTGATCATGGTTACTCATGCTTATACATGCAGACGTGCCAATATGTGGTCCACACGAAGCGATTCAATATTCACCACGTCTCAACCCTGATTGGTCCCAGCGAGTAGTAAATCTAATGTAAATCTAATATAGAGCCGCCTATTCGATATTTACTAGTGCAGTCGTTTACACTTGGTCTCGCCCAGAAAAAGCATAAATCCTGAGTCAGAATACATAAAGTTGACTGTGGCGCAAATTTTGGCTCTGATCGTGGCAGGGTCGCTTGGAAAACGATCATCATATAGTATGAGAACACCACCCGTATCCAATATTGTTTTGTTCCTTGTTGTAGATCTTAAAGAAGCAAAGTACTGGGTTGAGACTAGCTCTATTAGATAGTTGTTAATTTTCTTTGGAAGACACAGTCCGTTATATCAAGAACAAGGCACGACAATGGTACCGGAATAATCACCTGTTTGTATGGAGTACTGAGAAGCGCTACACACCTTTAACGCGCAGACCGGCGAAGCAAATCTTGAGTGAAGTCGACTCACTCAGTGTGATGTGTCAGAAGATTTATAAAAACCTACCGATGCAATACAAGGAGATGGTACCGGGTGTCAGCAAATTCTGTTTTCAGGGTAGCCATTTCATCGCATGGGCTACGGAAAACGATACAAGAAGGTGGGTTTGTAAATAAGTGCATATTTGCTTCTGCTGAGTACATACAATTGTCGTGTATTGATGCGCATGTAGGCAACTCACGTATTGGAAACATCGAACTGAGGGTTTCTGCATGTTTATCACCGAAACTCTTTGAATATGTACAGTACGAAGATGAAATTCTAAATAATCGCAATTTATTTCTTCAAATGAGGACAGCCGCAATCAAGCGATTGACCTCGGAAATGTTCTGCTTCTATCTGGGATGATATCCAACATATCTTCCGACGAACAGACTTTCAAAACCGAAAGTCTCTTCGCTTTAACGGCGTCGTGCACGGGTTCAGCAACATCCGAGATCGAGGTGAGTTCTTCACGGCTAGTAGAAGCGTTTTAGAGGTAATGATGCACAGCACAATTGCTTATCCCGAATAGGCTACTGAAACAAGACGTGCATGAAAAAGTATCAAGGACAATGTAAATTGTAATACAAGTTGATTTACACGAGTATCTGAGCAAAATAATATTCCGTTCGAGCTCGAACAAGTGAGAAGCACGGGCATGGTAGTGGTAGGGATGCAAAATGAAGAAAGTGTCGATTTTCATGTTTTCTTTTTAGCACAGGCAAATCTGCTGGCCCTCGTCCTTCTAAACTATCTAACTCTCTGACGCTTCAGGTAGTTATATCACACTAAATGGGTTGCTGTTCAATTGTATAGTGCACATGTCTGCTTATAACTGTGTCAGCATTTCCCTCTGTCCTCCCAGCGCCTGTATATCCAATTCACAGAAATTGAAAATAAACTGGAGGGGGATCTACGCGCCTTCCACCTTTATACTATCTATCAATTGCAAAATGTTCAACTATAACTACATGCATTACACTTCAGAATCTCTGCTCAAGAACTTCAGGCTCGATGCAAAGGACGACAATGAATGAATTACTTCAGGATACAGAAGGAGTTGAAGCTTTGTACCAGTTTTTGAGCAAAGAATATTGTGAAGAAGTTCTGCTCTTTGTTCTGTGTGTTGTAGGCTTCAGAGACACAGCAGATCGCGAAGGTAAGTTTACATAAAGTAATCAATATTTCAACTATTTATATCAGTTGATTGATATGCACAATTCTATCAAAAAGTGTTAGGCTCGTGCACCAGCGCGCAAATTACTTACACCATTGTAAGTGTTTCGGCGTGTTGCGAAAATACCAAGCTAAAACTCTCCAAATCAGACAATTGTAATGATTTTGCCTAATTTAGAGTGTGCGAGAAAGTAGCTAAATACCATTTGCGCTGTTCACGAAGTTACTCATTGAGCTCTTGGCGCTCAAGAGGTTGTATTTAGTCGGCTGTGGCTGTCACCGCAATTGAGTAAGCCAAAAGATGTAAACGGTATTTCCTACGCACATGCAGTCAAAGTCTAGTGCACATGATTGTTGTGCTAGTATATTTCATATGTCTACAAAGGCTGAGCCTCGTATAAAAGCGTGATCAGCGATTGATATGCAATTAGACCTGAGGGGCTATTTGCTCAAGTGGGTTTTAGTGCTTGTTTTGTGTTCAGAGTCACTGAGCAAGTTTTAACAGTTTAATTTTGAAAAAAAATCATTTGCAACAGAGACTATCGAGATCCAGGCCCAAGAGATCTTCGACACTTTTATTTTACCAAACGCTAAGCTGCAAATAAACATATCGCAACAACTCCTAGACGAAGTATCGGTATGTATATGTGCACATTACAATGCTTCTAATGGCTCAATCTGTATGGACACAATCACATGCTAAACTATGATGACACAAACCTCTCAGCCTGTGCATGATTACGAATTTCGGCCCTTTTGTATTCATAAGTTTTGTCACATACTACCACAACCCTACCGTAAAATTCACACACACTATTTGGAATTTTTCACAGGCTTCTATGGAAACGAAAGCGTTTTCTCTGGATATGTTTGATGTAGTGGAGAGAGAAATGATGGTCATCCTCGAACGAGACAAATTTTCGCGTTTCAAAAAAGAGTATTTCGCCACAGCCAAGCAAGGTCTGACAAGGAACGTTGGGACCATTGGGTAAATCTGTGAGTGTTCATATGTGCGATCAAGGCTTAATAGCGGAGTGACTACTTTAGCCACTTGAAAGAGTGGCTGACAAGACAACATACTACACTGGTATATTGTATATTGAATCATCAAGCTTAGTTTCAGCACTTAGTCGTAGCTGCAGATGAGGGTGAAGTGCCTTTATTAGATTTCCTTCCCTTCCACGCGAAAAAATCAATCGCCGTAAAATATACTTGGTCTGTGATTCAAGGGCGATTGAGCAACGATCATGAATGAAGGAGCCAAATATTGCGTGCGAGAGCAAGAATAAAAATACCACTCGCATTCATTTTATTGAACTCGAAGTATGTAAAAAGCCATAGCCAATTGATAACAGCTATGAAAAAGCGTACATATTTGATATTTGATCAGGTGGACAGGCCTGGGCGGTATGCGTTCTTTGTGGTGTGCGTGATAACCACTGGCAAGTTTCCAATTAAATTAATTCGCGAGTTTACATTGCTGGCGACGGGTGAGTGCAAGCAATTCCATCATCATTTCAACCAAGTATACAGCGGACTATGCCTCAAAATTATATAGCCAAACGCCGCCCACGTGCATTCTTTTTGACTACGCTTTATAGTACGCGTTGATGTGCGAGCACTAGTAGACCAACAAGTAGCATCCAGTAAGATAAGCTACCTGTCATTTCCAGCACCGAGAATAAACTGAACATTTTTTTCGCTGTTACATGACAGCTGACTATTCGTTAGCTACGAAGTTAAATGTCGGAAAAACGAAATGTCGTAGCCGAAAGGGCACCTTCCAGACTAGTGATGACATTATAACTGCTTTGAGATAACCCTCTCGCCTCTGCAGTATACGGAACAAAAAATTATATAGTCTTGGTATTCAACTCGGTGAGAAATAGTCTAGTACACATAGAGAGTCTATGCCGGCAGCGACCCACTCCGTACCGGTGAGATAAGCGAATCCACCTCCTTCCAAATAGAAAAGGTTGCTGACGTAAGATCAAGTGACTCATTGTTGTCATCACTGCAGTGAATCTAGGTAGAATCGTTGCACAAACCTACGATCTGTGTATATCTCTATTGTCTATGCTATATAACACATCTCCACAACAGCTACAAGTGAGTTGCAAAATACACCATATGCGCTCTGCGGAGGTGGAAAGGATATATTTTTTAACTCTTGTTGTTCAAGCCCTCAAAGCAATCCATTTAGAAACTCTAAACCCTACTTTTTATCTGTGTTATCACGATTCTCAGCAGGCAACGAACTCCGCAACAATATGATCAAAGGAAGTGGTTGACGAAAGTATTATTTTAGAATGCCTCATGCTGCGAAGGCAGAGATATCTTTCCAGCATACAGGTCTCTCAAGTGTAGATGACTAAGCATGTTCAATACCCTACTCAAAGCATCTAAAGAACAGAAAAGTAAGGAGAAGAACTTTTACACTGTTCTGAACTGTGTGCCTACTAGTTCTGCGGAGCAGATCACGTGCGAGTATCGCAGACTCGTCTTGAAACTCCATCCCGATAAGGTAAACGGTGGCCAGGGTATACATACGACCCCATCCAAGGTCGCGCAAGAAACAGAAGACCACAAAGGCGGCGAAATCGGACCATATGTTGAGTTAAATAAGGAAGACGATCGCGTTATAGAAGGTGCTGAGTTGTTTATCGCAGTTCAGGAAGCTTACAAGACTCTGAAGAACGACAGGCACTCGTACGACAAGTATCTCAACAGCGGACTGGCCATCTCATGGAAGCAGTGGAAAGTATTGGAATCGACTAAGCAAGCAACGCATTGGTATGTTGTGATGTTCATTCCTTCTACTTCAATCTCTAACCATATGGTATATGTTAATTTCAGTAGCAAGCTCGTGTTGCTTTCAACTAGTACGCCTCTTCTATTGAATAATCACATATGCTTGCATTTTAGACTGGGAGCACATGTAGTCGATCTCAACGAGATTGTGCGATAAATTAGTGAATCAGAGTACCGTGTGTGTGTGCAACTATTCTTAACTTTTCGACCATTCGTAAACCGAATCGCATACGCATCGCATTGGAGGAGTGATTTTTTTTTCACCAACACAAACCGCGATCAAAGCTCATATCCTGTGGGACGCATCAATTTATTCCTTGCGGGGTTTCTCGAATGTTACAAGATCTCATCTAGGTTGTATTTATATATCGTGCATTATATATCTGAAAGGTTTCCGCCAGCTTATAACTTCGAGCACCCACAAGACTCGTGCTGTGAGTTCCAGAGATACCAATTGCAGTGTTGCACACATTATATGCGACGATCTCTTTAAGCGCATTGATAGCTATACAATGGCCTGCTTGCTAGGTTTGTGCATTTTCGTGAATAACAAACTTGCTGGAGCAAGAGAACCAATAGAGAAGATATTAGAATGTACAAAATGTTGAATTGTACTTTCCGTGCCTCACGTTTGTGTATACGCATGTAGACTTCCCTACATTATCAGTTCCAATGCCTTGTTTGGGCTTGAAAATTTGACATCCGCAATTGCATAGTGGCACCAACATAAAGAAGGCACTTTTTCTTGATCTAAGGTATCCTAGTCCGATAGGAATAATATGTAGTTATTTTGCGGTGAATACTTGTTAAATTCTAGGGCTCAGGAATGTGTCAGTGGCTCAGGCCATATACTGGAATGTCACACCCTGCTCAATCCCATCGCTCTTCACAAAATCTAAACCGCAAAATCTATGTGCACCAGAAATGAACAAGTGAGCGTGTTGTCAGAAGCATGCCGCATAAATAGTCAAGCCAGAAAATTGACCACGCAAATCGTTATAGAAAAACAATCCTCCATATACTCGATACTCAAATCACCTTCGGTTGTCTCTAATTCTCGGGCGCCGGGACTTTGTATGTATCACTCTCTGAAAATGTACTCTCAGTGCATTGGCGGTGGACCTGTTAAATAACATCCACCGTTCCACCATGACTTGTGACATCTCTGTTCTGTGTCGAAACCGACAACTCCCGCACCTGTGCCACGTGTACGCCAATGCCAGAATCCTTCACCATGGCGATAATTCAGTATTCGTGTTTCTTCGTGCCCTATCAGAGGTTGGAAAACATCACTCATCAATAATGTTCATTCATCATGTTCGATATCGGACTCTGCCTGCAGTCAATAATAACTGAACGACATCCCTACACCATAGGCACAACCCTACGGACACCAAACCGACCTTAGCTGACAGCACTCCACAGGCGAAAGCCAAAGATACCCAACTCACCCGCGAAGAAGCCCTCAAGGCCTTCAGGGCAGGCAAGAAAATTTGATCCACGCCAGACGATACAACTGCGCTAGCCTGTACAACTGTTTGTGCGTAGCTCTGATACGCAATAGAAACACTCAGACCGCAGCAGAACGCGGAGAACTGCAGTACGAAGCGGCTGGAACATGGACGGAAGTAGTTTGCGTAAATTCACACCGTTTCTTCGCCTATTATAGGAAGGCAGCCGCTCACTTTCCTCGTAAGAGCCAGAACTGATTTCTATACCATCATCAAGAGACACGCTTCTATACTCGCTCATCATGAAGGGTAAGGTGACATGGATTCCATGAAGTGTATTTTGGTGTGTCACATCGTCTTTTCCTTCACAAACGGCTAGGTAATCATCTAGTCTGGCTGCTCTCAGCCTATTCCCGAGTCTCTATCCATTTTTATGGGAGGAATCAGTACTATGTATAAAGAAACCGTTTTGCTGATATATGATCAAATGCTGGCAGCCTAGCATAATTGATGTTACCTTTCGTATACTCCATCCGACAAACCTCGCAAAGGAACCAAGCATGAGGACAATATGGCCTGACGGTTATAATTTGTCCCATTCTTGTTCAGAATTCTCACGTCTCTATTCACTTCTGTACTTGGCGAATATACATATTAATTGCCGCACTCTCTTCGCTTCTGCGATTTTTTTCCAGGTGTATTCTGTACTTTAATATGGTGTGTACTGTGTATCAACCTCCCACTCCTGGTCAAGGCCGATAACCACACTGAGTTCAACTCTCTGACAGTTACTGCATGCACGCCTGTGGTACAGTTTGGACTCAAAAGCGGGGGTGAGCTGGAGCTGAATGTGAATGAATGGATGCTGAATAGTACTTCTGTAAGCGGGATCTACATAAGGCGAACCCTCAATTCACTCACCTCGCAGATTCAAGACCGAAGCGATGGTGGGAGATTCTGCGTGTTGGATCAATGGCATGTACGTATGCACGAAATTTAGCTCTTTGGTCTTTTCAGTATCACATCTAGTGTGTACGTATTGCATGGCATTTATCTTGATCGATTACGAGCATCTGAAATTTATTTGCCAGGCATTGCTCGCATTGGGTTCCTATTTAGTTTTGTTTTGCTGTTTTATCTGTTATCATATGTTATGTTGAATTAAACAAGAATATTTTCCAAAAAATAAAAAAATTCGCACGACGCTCGTGAAGGCTCTGATTTACACACGGTATAAGTTTGTCATCATCTGCTACTTGCTAAATAGTACTGTCTCGCGCCAAATGGAGTATGCGTACATTCAACAACATCGACCTATTCTGTCAATCACAGGTGAAGAACATGAAAAATGGAAATAAAAAGAAGACAAAGTACCATCCAAAAGGAGGCATGGGTGGCATGTTTACCATACAGAACTCAGTAATTGCACAAATTACGAATGGCTGCCTGGAGGCTCCTGTCGTTCTGTTTCCTGGTCTTGAGGAATACATCGCAGTAGAAGTTACAGGCAACACATCAGGTGTGCGCAAGATTTGTTTGTTGGCCATGAAGTCAGACTCTAAGATATCTATTTGGCTCGTCTAGTCTCCATTTCGGCTCATCATTTGGGCGTGCTACTCAAAAACCTATACTCGCACCTTTTATCAAGTTTGTAGGACGCTAGTATGCTCGCAGATGTTTTGACCCATATCACTACAGACGACCTGACTAGTTTTTACCCAACTCGAATCCTAGTATATGATATAGCGCTTATATACTTTAGACATTCAGCTGAATTGTTGCTGATTGAGCTTGAACTGCAGATTCCGTGCAGCAACCGAATTTCGGTTATGTATGTTAGCTTCCATATACCGATCACTCTTAATTCTGTCTAAGTACTCTCTACAACTTCTCGCGCATACAATGGACATGGGTTTTTTTTTGCGCCGAAGGAATGTCTCACGTACGAGGTAGTGAGCAAGCAACAGTTTCCGTATATCAGACAATGAGCAGATTTGTAATTCTAATTGTCTTTTCTCGCCCTCCCACAGTCACATCTGCCTCGGGAACGAACACTTGTGCGTCGCGCGTGGCCCTGCGTATTACCGACGACCGGGCCGCTGGGTTGTACACGGCCTATGCGTGCAACTGTGAGGGCAGCGGGGGTGGAGCTGGTCTAGTGATACCCGATGGGAACACTACGGCAGCCCAAGTACTCAAGGAGGAGGAGACGAAGACCAGTTTACAGGAGAGAGGATACCAACGCAACCATCACAAGTACCACCCCCCGCTGACGTATAATATCAGTGTAGTAGCATTCAACCTGCAGATGGACTATGCCGAGGGCTCGGACGATCGCGTGACTAAGCGCAACTACCTGTCCGCTGGTCTCATACCGCTGCCACAGGTGTACGCGGGGTGCTCACTGTGTTTTGGTACTCTGGCCGTGTGGCTGGGTTATCTAATGTATAGCGGGCGAGAGCATGTGAATTTCGTGCACGTGTTGCTTGTGCTGCTGGTCATAACCAAAGCAGTTTCGCTCGTCCTGCACTCGGTGTGGTATACGAGAATCCAATACGTTGGCACGGCATCGGAGCCATGGAATATACTTTTCTACGTGCTGCATTTTATGAAGGTATGACACCAGGGCAGCAGCGTCACCGCCCGCCTGAGTGAGATGTTCGCCTTTAGGTGATTCTATTTGTGGTGTTTAAGTGTTTTTAAAAGTTCTTGTCAATCATTGGTATGTGCCCGCCCATACACCGCCCTACGAAGCGGCAAACGGAGTGACTTAGATAGAGGCGTTTGTGCCCGCGAAAAAAGTTAATTCGCCTTCGCATCTAAAATGTGAGTTACTGAGAGAGCCCAATGCAAGTTGTATTTAATTGCTATCATAGGTTGTATATGCTTATATATATATATATATATATTCTTATACTTGAAGTTAATGATTTTTCCTAGCATCACATCAGTCACATCCAGGCTTACTTGTGCGCTAATTCTTCGCTCCCAGTTTATCGCCTTTCCCCACCTTTTTATACAAGCGTTAAGTGAAGTCTACCCTTTGCTTTCCCCACCTATCATCTTGTAGGCTATGCTGATGTTTGCGGTCCTGCTTCTCATTGGATCTGGTGCGTTCTTCGTGAAGCACACGATTTCGGAAAAGGATCAGCGGGTGCTCTACATTGTCCTCGGCTTACAAGTCTTATCTAACGTGGCGTATATGGTGTTGGAGGAGGCAAATGTATGTAGCAATTCAAGATGCAAAGTGCTGTATTTAGATGGTGAAACTGCGTTTGCTAGGTCATCTCCTTTGTAGTGGGCATTTTGTCGTTTGGATTGGATCTGCATGATGATTGTAGAGTATAAAATTAAGGAATTTTGATCCAATTTGCCACGAACCCAATCCCCACTATAATAGACTCTACGAACCTTTATGTTTAGGCCTCAAATATCTGCGTACTTCAACGATCGTTTTTTAGACGCATAGCTTACCTTGCAGATTCGCTGTTATTTGTTGACACTGCTGCTTGTTTTGACGTGTGCCCAAACTTTCATAAGAGAATATGTATCTCTGCTTATATTGCAAGTCACTTTTGCTGCTTCGCCATTGGTATGATACAAAGGATCGCATGTGAATCCTACATTGAAGTCATCTTTCTCAATCTCAAATCATTAACGTCCTTCTACAACAGATCGGTGATCGAGCAAGCGTTGCCGATAGCATGCTCTCCTCTCTTGTGTATATGGTTGACTTTGGGTGTTTCGTGGGAGTATGGTATGTGATGGTTGGTGTGATCAAGCATCTGCAGATGGCAACAGAAGATCGAGATAAGCACGCTGTGAGTGTTCACAAATTGAATCTCTTCAAGCGATTCTATAGGTACGTATAACTCGCTCGGCGACGCCTGCCGGGGCATTACTCTATGACGCTCGAGATTTTGTTCTCCATTTAGCCCCGCTTTGATTCCTCATTTCCACGTATAATTCATACGGATATTTCATCCGTATATTTCATACGTATAATTCATACGTATGATTGATACGTATAATTCATACATATAATTTATACGTATTCTAATGTACGTAGCTCGTTTAACATCAGCATCCACCGCATGCATAGATGATCATTTTTTTATATGTTTTTCCTTTGCTCGAACAGTGTTGTGATCTTCTACGTCTACCTGTCGAGATTAGGCATCCCTATGTTCGCGGATGCAATCCCGTACGACTACCAGTGGATTCCAGACGGTGAGTTCTTATCATCATTTCTCACTCACATAATTTACTCGGATGCGTGTCTGTGAGCAGGACTACCTCTTATGGTGGGAATCTGCGTAGATAGTTATTACATAAGCTATCGATTTTGCATAATGCAGTATAGTCAAGCAGGCTCACTTTGCACAACCTCGCTTGGGGAGGCGAGTTACATATCACACTGGCAGTTGCCAGCTTGTATACCAATATCGTTGCTTTTGAAATATCAAGTTGTGCCTGGTAGCGTAGCATACACCATCACCACAGACGAGTATCTAAGAAAACCCACTCAAAATTACGCAGCGTTGCTCCAAGCGTTGGCTTTTGGCGTTTTCACGATGGTAGCGATATGGTTCAGACCGGCACCTGACAATCCGTACTTCTCGGTGAGTGCTGTCCTATATACGTGTTGATACTTCTTACCTCCAGAGTGCAAGTTGCAGTACGTGCTGATACCATTCGCGAAATTATAGCGAGTATATAGCTGCTTGATACACTCCACTTCTGGTGCCGGGCACTCTTATGAAATCGAGGACTGCTTTAATTACGTGGTGTGGGGGTTTCAATCGCCTCTAAATCATCATGGGGCAGTACTATGCAAATTTTCTGCACACACTTATCCTTTCTAATTGTGTGATTTCTGCATACACTTATCCTTTATAATTGTGTGATTTTCTGCATACAATTATCCTCTATAATTGTGTGGTTTTCTGCACACACTTATCCTTTATAACTGAGTGATTTTCTGCATACACTTATCCTTTATAATTGTGTGATTTCTGCACACACTTATCCTTTATAATTGTGTGATTTTCTGCACACACTTATCCTTTATAATTGTGTGATTTTCTGCATACACTTCTACCTTATAATTGTGTGATTTTCTGCATACACTTATCCTTTATAATTGTGTGATTATCTGCATACACTTATCCTTTATAATTGTGTGATTTTCTGCACACACTTATCCTTTATAATTGTGTGATTTTCTGCATACACTTCTACCTTATAATTGTGTGATTTTCTGCACTTGCTTTGGGAAACAGATACCGCAGGAGGACGATATTGATGTGGAAGAAATGGAATTAGGGACGCTGGTCATATCAGAAGGTGCAGACGACGCCAGAGATGACTTCGAAGTGTCGCCGCTGGTGGTAGCTTCCGATACCAGAGACAATGAATCAAGCATGCGTCGTGTCAGACGGGGTTGACACGCCGAACTCAAAGTATTGATAGAGCCTCTCTTTATGGTGCTGAGTGACCCGGTCTCTGATAACGAGATTGCTATGCGCACAGAGGTGTTCGTGAACACAAAGGGAGATGCGGTGCAGGGGGGGGGGGGGGCATGTGACTTGAAATTGACAGCGTTCACATCGATTAGGTGTGATATTTATCGAAAAGCTCACACTCTAAGCCAGTCTATTGGCAAGGCGTAGTGTGACTCGCACATGCACCCCTAACAAGAGTAAAGCCTCGACGCGTATATTTTAGAGTGGCGGATATAGGAGAGGACAGTTTGAAGATCGTACAGAGGCAGAGCTCTCGTTTGCTGGAGATATACCTCTTGAGTTATCGTATGGCAATTATCAGATACTGTCCCTTCAGGGTGGTGCTCCCCCCCCCCCAAACAGAACGGCCCAGCCGAATTTAAAAGAAGAAAAGTACCTTCGCTAGATGATTCGCACGCGTGATTGGTTCGCTGCGGGCTGTAAGTGTCGCAGTATTTACTACTTTGAGTTCTTGTCAGGGCCAGGTGCCCGTTTCGCACACCATACGAGAGTGACATTGACGCAATGTAAGGCAAGGGAAGGCATCCTGCCTTAATCTAACCGTCAGATGTATCCACACAGCAGCCTCTTGAGAAAGTAGAGCGACCTGAAAGCGCAATAGTCGGTTCCCGAAAGTCGCTCCGCAGCAATGCACGGCAGCAGATAGGCGTTGTTGCATGGTAAAGCCTGCGTGCTGTTGTAGAGGTTATAGTCAATCCCCTTCGCAATCCGTCCCGGGTCCCCATGAATCGACATTTATATAAATCTTATCAGTGACTATGTTGCGCTGCACGACCTTCTCATGTTTGCGGTTTCGTTACACAAATCCGCGTGCCCTCGCGGTTTCAGAGAACTCACGCAGAGGTATCGCGCATGGAGCCATAAGAATGGTAGCTATGTCGAAAACGAAAGTTCTGTGGCATACACCTCCACAACATGTATCGAGAACTGTGCCGTAATCGCTGGAACTCCCCGAGCATTCAACAGTTGGGCCTGCACGAGCATGTCCTAGGGAGAGAGCGGCTTATCTTGACATCCACCAAATACGAGCAGCCATCCTTTGGGAACAAGGAGTGTCCGCGTGGCCTTGTCACAACTATAAACATATTACAATAATTACAGCAAACCTCAGAATCCGATGACAAAATTGAGAAATCAGCTAATTTCGAACGTAGACGAGAACGTGTATGTATTTTAATATATATATATATATATATATAAATACTACATACATACATACATACATACATACATACATATACACA